AAGGAAGCTAAGTCTTATTCATTTTTTAAAAGATTTATTTTATTTATGCATAGAAGAACTGGGGTACAGGCCAGAGGTGTAGGGGGTGAGAGGATTCACCAGAGACAGAGTGGGGAATAGAACAAATGGATCCACTGAAACATACTGCCAAGGGGAGCAGTGGGCGAGATGGAGGTCTGCTGGGCCATGCGGGTCACCTCCCTGGCCAGAAATCGAACTCCTGCTGCAGTGGCTGCAGATAGCTTCATAGTGCTGCTCTTTAACCCCTTGCGCCACCAGGGAGGGCCCTGAAGTCTTATTCTTTATGGGTATTTCCGCACCTGTAACTCGCTGGAGTATTCACCAGAGACTCCAGAAGAGAGAGAAGACAAGGATTGAAAGAGCAGTAAAAACTGGCTACTCACCATCCATCCACCTTAACCACCAGTAGAGGTCAAGAAACCATGGCAGCCTTCCCTGGTGGCACACAGAGCTAAATCTCAACTCTATGAAGCTATCTGCAGCCACTGCAGCAGGAGTTGGATCCCCAGCCAGGGAGCTGACCCACATGGCACAGCAGACCTCTCCTGTCTCGCCCACTGCTCCCCTCAGCAGTGTATTTCAGTCAATCTGCCTGTTCTGCAGAAACAACTATGTGTTGTTTCTGATGAATCCTCTTGATCTCGCCACCCCTGCACCTCTGGCCTACCCCCCAGCTCTTGTCTGCATAAATAAATAGATCTTTAAAAAAGAAAGAAAGAAACCACGGGTCATTCTGTACTGCTCTCAGTCCATTCATTCCATAAATACTTACTGAGCGTCTGCTATGTGTCAGGTGTTATTCTAAGTTCTTGGAAGACAGCGATAAAGAAAATATGGTACTCATGGTTCTTCAGGGATGGGGGAGGTAGCCATATGTAATAAGTCAGATGATAACATGTGTTATGAGAAAAGTAATAAAACAGAGTTAATGGGTTAGGGATGGAGGAGGTCGCAGCAGCTGTTTTCACATAGAATAATAGATTGACGAGGACGGTGGCTCTGATGACTTTTGAGAAGCTTTTGAAAGAAACAAGAAAGGAAGCCAGTATCTTTCTGAGTGAGAATGTTCCAGTTGGAAGCAATGGAAGGGCACAGGCCCTGTGGCCAGAGAGTACTAGGTATGTTAGAGGATCTGCAGGAGGCCTGTGTGGCTGGAGCAGAAGGAAGCGGGCGAAGCAGCTAGAAAGGAGACTGGAAGTTTCTGGGGAGCTGGATCACTGTGCACCTAGTATGAGTAGGCCTGGGATATTCACTCTGATGTGGCTGGGAGACCCAGTGTGGGATTCTGTCAGACTCAGCCTTCACAGGATCCTTCTGGGTGTTGGGTGGAGAACTGACTGTAGGGGGGACAGTCAGGGAACCCAGGTAGGAGGCTGCTAACCAGCAGGGAAAAGGCAGCAGAGGCTTGAGCCAGGTGGTACAGCAGAGGTGAGTGGCAGGACCTGGGCCTGTCGAGGAGGTGAGGGGTCAGATCGAGGCTGAGAGGAAGGTGGCTCCTGGGCTTTTGGCCTGGGCTACCGCAAGTGTGGAGGTGTGTACGGCTGGGACTCAGCCACCACCACTGTGGACTGGGGCGTGTTGGGATGGCTACGGGCCACGGATGTACAGATGTAACTTACGTCAGTGATCAATTCCTCCAAAACAAAGCAATTTAAGGGAACATTGATTATATTTGTTTCTGTGGATCAGGAACCCCAGCGTGGGTTCTGTCACCTATGGACAAGATATTTGGTGGGAGCTGCGGTCATTGCAAGACTTGACTGGGACAGGGTCTGCTTCTAAGCCCACTTATGTGGCTGCTGATAGAATTCAGGTCCTCGGGGGTTACTGGCTGCAGCTGCCAGCTCCTGGCCAGGAGGCCTCTCTGTCAGATGCTCCCAACCTGACAGCTGGCTCCCCCCCGAGGGAGTGAACAACACTGAGGTCACCGTCTTTCTGTAACCTAATCTTGGAGGTGACCTCTTTGGCTGTGTTCTCTTGGTTAAACATTCGAGGGGAGGTGATAAATGTACCAGCTGAGTAGGATCGTTGGGAACCAGGTTAGAGGTGGCTGCCACGATGAGGGAGCAATTGGATCAACAAGGACCATGGCAAGCTGGCCATGCAACGGGAGTGCGCCCCCTATGGGCCTGGGTGACTGAGACCGAGAAAGGAAATAGGGCTTGGACGGGGATGTTCCATTATTGGGAGGTCAGGGAGCTGGAGTGGAAGACCAGCTAGGGAGGTGGTGATTGGTGACCGCTGCCTCGTGGCCAGGTACCCCAAACCTGTCTCTAGATCAGGAGAAAAGCATGTTTTCGGGACAGGGAGCCATCGCTGGTCAAAACCCACCAAGATCACTGGTGAGAGAAGGCAGTGAATGGTCGCTTTAACAGAGCCATCTTGGTGGAATAGAAGGTTCTAGAAAGATTGGGAGGACAGAAAGAGAAAACAAAGACAAAAATGCCTTCGAGGATTCTTGGTATAGAGAGGTGCACCATTGTAACTGTCTTTAGCTTTTCACATCAGGTAACTCTGCTTCTCCTTCCCTCTTCTCTGCAGGTTTCCAGTCTTTTAGCCTACACATAGCAACCCAGGGGCCTGCAGCTGGGATGAGGGCTCCGAGCCTGAAGCCTGCCCATGATTTATTTCAGGTACCAACAAGTCACAACTAGTCAAAGCATGCTTTGTGAGACGAGGGTGGGGACACACTGTTAGTCCTCATTCATCAGCTGGAAGCTTCTTAAATCCAGCCAGTCACCCCCTGGAGAATCTGGCTTGGAAGCAAATAGGGTGAAGCAAAAGCTTATTGCTGACTGCCACCTGGTGGTCATTTTGGAAACGGACCTGGATCCAAATCTTCATCAAAGAGAGGTGGAAAGAATGGAAGATGGGAAGAATTGGCTGTACTTAATAGTACAGAAGTGGGGTCACTCTTGCTCCTGTACTAGAGGATGTGGTCAAAATGGTTTTCTTTGCCTTCACTACCAACATTTTGTGAAGGAAAAGTAAATATCATCAAAGGTGAGGAAAACACATTCATATGCAAAGTCAGATGGTCCAGGTTCAAGTCCTGTTTTGCTACTATGTGACCATGATTACACCCTTAAGTGTGTCTTAGTTTCATCCATTATAACATGGAAACACTGGGATTAAAAGCACACAAGGGGGTGTAAAGAGCTCTGAGTGCTGGAAGTGTATTGCTTTAAAATAGTGATTCTCACCAGGGGGTGCAACATTGACATTGCCTAGGGATTTTTTTCTTAAATGGAGGTAACATTAATTTACAACATTGTATTTACAACATTGACTCAAAGATATAATTTCTCACCACATCCACCACCAAATGTCCATTTACCACCCATTATCAAACAATTAGTTTCTTCTACACATCCCCTCCTCCCCCACCTTCCACCCCAATAACCATCATTATGTCTAAAGATTTGTTTTTGTTTACATTATTTTCTGCAAATGAGTGAAACCATGTGGTATTTGTCTTTATCCTTTTGACCTATTTTGCTCAGCAAAATCCCCTTAAGGTCCATTCACGCTCTCACCAATGGCAAGGTTTCATCCTTTTTGTGACTGAATAGTATTCCATCACACACACACACACACACACACACACACACAAACATCTTCCTTATTATTTCTCTGTTATTGGTCACTTGGGCCTCTTTCCATATCTTGGCTAGTGTGACTAGTACTACAGTGAACATAGGGTTGCATATATCTTTTCCTAAGTTAGTGTTCTCATATTTTGGGGGTAAATACCCAGAAGTGGGTATTTATTGGATTGCTGGATCATGTGGTAGTTCTATTTTTAATTTTTTTTTTTGAAGTTGCTCCATACTGTTTTCCATAGAAGCTGGGCCATTTGCATTTCTACCAACAGTGAACAAGTGAAAGGATTCCTTGCTCTGCCTAGAGATAGTTCAGGTTGTCACAGGGTGCAGGGTGCTTCTGGAATCTAGTGGCTAGAGGCTAGCGGTACTGCTAAATATCCTACAATGCACAATTATCCAGCAGTACTTACACTTAAAAATCCTGGAGCTGGCTCTCCCTGTTGTGGGGCAGCGGGTTAAAGCACTAGGCACTAAGAAACTGAAACCACTTCCGCATGAGTTCGATTCCCGCCTGCCCCGGAGGTGACCACATGGCACGGCAGACCTCTCCTGACCCGCCCGCTTCTCCCCTCAGCAGTGTACTTCATCGATCTGCCTGTTCTGCTCCACTCTGTCTCTGGTGAAGTCTTTTGCCACCCCTGAGTCTCTGGCCTGTACCCAAGTTCTGTATGTACAAATAAATCTTAAAAAAAAAAATCCTGGAGCGTTTTTGCCATGCTTTAAAGCAACACGAGGAACTGCTTTCTGAAAAGAGGGAAACTGAGTGAGACATGAAGCTAGGAAGAGGTTCTTTAATCATTAGGTGCACAAGTCAAATGAGGCTCCAGATGACTGTTCTCCAGTATTATAGCCACACACCAACTGCATGTCCCTATTGAAATTAAAATTAATTAAATTGAAATAAAGTTTCCAACTTGAGTCCTGGGTTGTAAAAGCCACATTCCAAGGGCTTAATAGCCACATGTGGCTAGTGGACAGCACAGATATAGAACATTCCACAAGCACAGAAAGTTCTATTTGGAGCACTGTTCCAAAAGTACTCAGCAGAACTATGCAGCTCTGAGGCAACCCACAAGAGAAAAATTAGAAAGTAAGGCTGTTCAGAGAGGAGAATATGAGAGACAACAGTAAACACCAACGACATGGTGGTTAAATACGCACCAAGGCAGTATATAATTCAGTGCTAAAACAAGTCACAACCACACATAGACAGTAGTGGATCCAAGCAAACCTCTCTCCCCCTGAAAAGCACTTAAGTGCATAAAACTTGAGAACCTCCCAAAAGCAAGCAGAATCAACAACAGAAGACAGGCAGGGGAGGGCACACGATTGTTGGGGAGCACCGTCCCTCTCTTGCTCTTCTCCCTGACACAGTCAGATTAACTTGCGGTATGTTGTTCTCAGTCCCATACGTGCCCACGAATCCATTGAACTGACAGAGGAATGCCGGTGACGGCATGCCTTGCCTAAAGTCTTGGGGTCCTTGTAAAGGGCATATGCATACTTGGAGATAAAAGGCATGCAGGAGAAATGCAGGGCCATGCGTGATATTTGGAAGAACAATTGTATGTAACCCATCTCTTTGAACTGCTCTCTGATGGTCCCGATGATGAGCAGAACCAGGGAAAAGCAGATGCACTCATAGACAAAGATCCACAGAGCATAGCACAGTATGCCCCTATATCTGTTTGTGTGGATGCAATAGAGGAGCAAGCCGCTGACCAAGATAGTGATGCAGGAGAGGGTGGTGTTGATGGTTTTCCTATAAATCTTGATCCAAAAGAGGGCTGTGGACTTTGTGTCCAAGTAGATGTTAAACTTCTCCTCAAAGCCGATGAACGAAATTTGGTTCAGTTCAAAGATGAGGAACTGGATGGTGATGAGAATAGAGAAGATGCCAGCCATGTAGGAGAACATCCTGTTGTTCATTTTGTGTTTATTTTACTGGCACTTTTCCTGCAGGAAAAAGAAAAATCATGGAGCTATGTGACAAGATGGCAGAGCCAGTCCTGGGAAAACTCCTCAGGCTTCTAGATATAAATGGGGAGGCTAAGAGCAATGATATATGGGACAGGCAAAGGGCCGGAACCCTAGGGACCTGCTCTGCACTGCTGGCTCTGACCTAACTAGTGAGGGGTGAGCACATTACTGGGAAGTGAGAGCATCGTTGGCATGGGGTATTCCTGGGGCAGCTGCATCTATGCTTTAAGTGGAGGGAAAGTATACTGGCATCAGGCTTAGGAAACTTCTGTATCTGGATGAGAAATGGTCAGGTCTGGGCTCCTGCAAAGGGTCACTGGACCCTATTCCAATGTAAGCATGGATGGAAGCTTCTTCACACTAAGAAGCACTTCTCAGGAACCAGGAGGGACACCCTGAGGGTGTTCAACTCAAGTCTGACACTATCTGGGATACCAAAAGATGCTATACATGAAGGCTCTTTCCCCCAAGGCTGCCTTCCACTTCAGATGCCAGTGGCAAGCCCAGGTTGTTACCTGTGCTGCTGACAGCCTCCCTCCTCTTGTTCAATTAATTTGCTAGAGTGGCTTTCAGATTCAGGAAATCCATTTGTTGTTTACTAGATCACCCATTTATTACAAAGGCTACAAAAGTGAGACGAGCTCGATTAAAGAAATTATGAAAAAAAAATGAAATTGTGAGCCGCAGGATAAGCATCGTCCCAAGTCGTGTTTAAACAGGTGGACTAAATCATAGACAATGATCTTTGTCCAAATAATTGACCACCACACTGACCATGAGGGGCTGTGATAGCCAAAAAGCCTCAGCTCCTGATTAATGATTATTTCATAATTTCCCGGAGGGCGAAGGCGGAGAGCCCATATGGGCAATCAGAGAGTAGCCCTCTGGCATACCCAACCCAGACTAGGCTGCGGTGCTGTTTCCTCCTCGTTGAGACTCATGCTTTAAGCATCTCCTTCCAGAAGTCAAGCTTCCTTCTCCTTTGCAGACTGGTTCCTTTGTGTGTGAGTCTCTAATAAAACCTTGTCTGGTTCCACTACACTTAGCGCTCTCTGGCGAACTCTTTTTCTAGAGGGAAAATGGCCCACTCTTTTGGGTCAGGTCTGTAACATTACCAGCTCCCAAAAAGCAAACTCCAAAGCAGGTCTCCTTCTTCTTCATTCACCACAGTAGGGAAGCACCTGTGAAGAGAGAAGGGAAAAAATCACACATGGGGGAACCAGCAGCTGGAGGCCTGATGTGGCCACTTTCCAAGGTGACTGGAAGGGGTTCATGGTCAGTCCTGTCAGACTATGGACAGGCCTGTCAGGCCACGGTGCTTTCTCTTCAGCTTCCTTCTCAGTCATTCCATCAAGTCTAAATATATATGTGTGTGTATATATATATATATGTGTGTGTGCGTGTATGTATATATATGTATGTGTATATACATATATATATATAGTTTTTTTGGTCAATAACATTTTTTTGTTGTGGTGGTAAAAGAGACATATTTTTTAAAAAAGATTTACTTATACATACAAAAGCTGGGGGGCAGGCCAGAGGTGTTGGGGTGAGAGGATTCACCAGAGACAGAGTGGGGAGCAGAACAGCAGTTTAACTGAAACATACTGCTGAGGGGAGCAGCGGGTGAGACAGGAGAGGTCTGCTGTGCCATGTGGGTCACTTCCCTGGCTTGGGATGGAACTCATGCTGCAGTGGCTGCCGATAGCTTCATAGTACTGAGACTTAATACCTTGTACCACTGGGGAGGCCCCAAAGAGACGTACATATTTACTATTTTAACCCTTTGTTTTTCTCATCTAACATTTAAAATGGGGCTACAATTGATAAATGACTTACTAGTTCTAGGCCTATAACATAATGATTCAATAGTTGCATGTGTTGCAAAATTACCACCTTCCGCTTAGATCTTACCCTTTTTGAGTGTACACTTCAATAGCAGCAAGTTCATCCACATCCACAAATTCAACCACCTTAACACTTTTATATTCCCCAAGGAAAACTCTACACCCACCAAACACTAATTCCTCATTCCTGTTCCTCTCAGCCCCTATTAACCACCATTCTACTTTTCCCTCCAAAGACTGGATTTATTTTTGTGCAAAACAACTGGCCTATGGGCCAGAGGACCTGCAGTGGCTGGTGAGAGCTTGCTTGTCTCAGCAACTGTGTCACCAGGGAGGCCTCCCCTACATATTCTGGAGCTTTGGTCTGGGATACTGATTGCAAACAGCTTTTACTTTTTCAGTTATGTTTCCAGAACAAAGGCTCAGATTCACTTTGAGTTACAGATTAACTGTGATGACTTCATAGGAGAAACATTCCTGTCTATTTGGAAGTTCCAGGTGAACTCAAACTTAGCACTTCCCACGCTGTGGGAGGTTCTTTGTCCCCCATCATGGATTATTGGGGGGCAGAACAGGCCGGGTCTAAAGGTAGCGTCGACAAGTGGAGATTCCTAGAAAAAGGGGAAAAGGGGAAAACGGGGAGCGGGTGCGAGGAAGACACAGGAATCAGAGTTGGGTGCAAGTCTTCCTGCTCTGCCTTCAGCAGAGGTTTATTTTGTACATTTTGAGCAAGTAGTGGGATGACATTAGCATATGAAATGGGCTGAGATCATGATCACCTTTTTTCTAAGAATAGTCTGGGGTCCTTTTTGACCTTTAGTTGAGATTATAACATTTTTAAAATCAATCTATCAATCAAATTAGGTCATGTTGTGGGGAATGGGATCAAAAACGGGGTGGGGGGAAGGGAGGGAAATGCATGGGACTATGGTGGTGGCACACGGGTGATTTGGTGATGGGAAACCCGCGGGGATTACAATCGAGATGGAAAAAAAATGTGCAAAATGATGTAAAAATAAACTTTTGTAATAATTAAAAAAAATTATTAAAAAAATAAATAATAAAAAAGCACACGCCAAAAAAAAATTAGGTACATAGATTTACAAAGTTTAAGACTAATATTACTATAGTGAAGTAATAATCTTCACCACAGTGAAGATTAACCAAAATAAAGTTCCTTAAACCTTATCTACTACTTAACGGCTTTTATTTTCATTGAGACATCCTAGGGGGTAAAGTAAAGTGTGGGCAGGAAGAGGAAATTTCTTGTGAATTAAATTACAGTAAAGTTCTTAGAAAACTTGTTAGAAAGTTTAAGTGCATTTCCTTGACAAGAAGACTTGCACCCAGCTTCTATTCCCATGTCTTCCTTGCGCCTGCTCCCCATTTCCTCCTTTTCCCCCTTTTCTAGGAATCTCCGCTGGTCAACGCCGCTTCTACCTTGAGACCCTGCCTGTTCTGCCCCCCAATAATCTGTGATCGGGGACAAAGAGTCTCCGACACCAAGCTGTCCTCCTTTTCTTCTCATCCTAAGTGAGCTGTGCCTTCTTCCTCCCAGCTCAGTGAAGGGGCCCACCCAGGTGCTCAATACAGACTCCTTCTCCTATCCCAAAGTCCTTTGCTGCCTTACTTCACCCATTTCTTTCAATAGCCTCTTGACTGATTTGCCTTTTCCCCCTTAGCCTTGTCCCATTCTGACCTACACTTCCAGAGGAACAAAAAAGTTTTTTTTAAGTGCAAAATCTTATCATTATCCTCACACAGTCATATCTCTAAGACACTCCCAGATCTCCCCCACTGACTTCAGAGAAAACTCCACTTGGCAGGTGTCAGGTAATGGCTCCAGGCAAACTGTGTCATCTGCCCCTCAGTTTATGCCACAATAAACTTGCTGTTTCTAAAATGGCTCTTGCCTATGCCTCTGCCTATCCGGATGTGGTCCAGGGGATGCCAACATCCTTTAAGATACAAACTCAGTAATTGCCTCCTCCAGAAATCTTCCCCTGAATCTCATTCTGGGTTGGACTCATTTTTACAGGACACTGGGCCGCCTCCTGCACAACATTTGTCACGATGCAGCTAGGAGAAGTTTTCTTCTCTTAAGTGTTGTTCAACAGTTTCTTCATTAAAAAATTGTCTAGGGCCTTCCCTGGTGGCGCAACGCATTAAGTGCAGCACTATGAAGCTAGCCACAGCCACTTCAGCACGAGTTCGATCCCTGGGCAGGAAGGTGACGGCATGGCACAGACCTCTCCTTTCTCCTCCACTGCTCCCTCAGCAGTGTGTTTCAGTCAATCTGTCTGTTCTGCT